ACTATATTTTTATATAAAAATAACAAAAAAAAATTTGCTCGAAAAACATTACGAATATTTGAAGAAAATCAACACGTGGTCGTTTGTTTGAGTCACTGTATATAGTTCAATGGTTGTAGTGGAAGTGCAAATTCCTTTAAAACTGAAAAGAAAAAATCTTTTAAAATGAATATGCATAAGTACGGCACACAAACAATTAAATTCAGCTTGCGATGCAACTTCTTCTTCTTCTTCTTCTTCTTCTTTGGCGATGAAAACTGCGTGCACAAAATATTGCTGCATTAGAACTTTGTACGAGTAGTACGCTGAAAGCATTACACTTCCGCTCAAGGTCTTAAATCACTTATGTAAGTTCGTTTCCTTTTAAGTACAAAAAAGTGAAATTTCACGCGCACATCAAAACGTCTTGAGCTGAAACTGAAATTATACATTGCCGCTTTGCTCAAGAATTTTCTCGTTAATGTTAAAGTCATTAGCGAAAACGAAATTGTCGCATCAAGCCGTTATAGCTGCCACACTTAAGATCGCACTGCGTGTGTTGCTTGCTGGCTGCATCAAAATGGCGCTGGTAAGGATGCCAGCAGCGGCAACGTTGCTTTTTTCAAGCTGCCATCCATGTGCTTGAGCACATTTCGACTCAATCACTTCAGCAAACAAAAATAAATTTCGCGCGCTTACCATCAACTTTCGCTGTTGTTTTGATGGCTTTTGCCACGCCGCACACACACACACACACACACACACACACACACACACACACACACACATACACTACATGCGCTTACGACGTTATTTTCGCTGAGACGCTCGTTTACTTTCGCTCAAATTTTTCCACTGTCACACTTGGCTTACATGTTTGTTGTTGTTATTGCTCTTGTTGCAACATTCAAGTGCAATCTTTTGCAGTAGCGGCACAGCACATCTTCAGATTTTATGTCACTGCCGTCAGTGCAAAGTGACACGCCTCATACATTGACTTACCTACGTACATACATACACTCATATGTACATTAGAGTGCATCACCAAAAAAGTAGCGGTTTTCCACCGCAATCATAAAACTTTAAGACTTCCGCCAAAATATTTTGGAAAAATATTACGATTTACGTGAGCTAGACCCTTTTGGAGATATCTCCGAAAATCTGATGAAATT